GGCTCCATGTATGCTTGGTATTGAATACCTCAGAAGGGGGCATTTCAAGGATCCTAAGGGGTATCGATGGGCCTTTGGAATAGCTGCTGTAGACACAGAATGTGTTAAGCAGTTGTCTGTTTTGCCTGGCCTGTCAGAAGATTTGTCTGTTGTGGGGTTGCTATGAATGAAAGAGCAGCAGGTACCGATTGCTACCAAAACGGTGCACAGATGGCAGTACCGCACCAACAGGGATTCCTTGCTCCCCACTCAGAAGTAGATTCGTCAACTAGAGAATCACGGAGTGATTAGCAAGACTCACTCACCTTTTAACAGCCCCATATGGCCAGTGTGTAAAGCCAGTGGAGAATGGAGGCTGACAGTAGACTACCGTGGCCTGAATGAAGTCACACCCCCACTGAGTGCTGCTGTGCCAGACATGTGAGAACGCCAATATAAACTGGAGTCAAAAGCAGCCAAATGGTATGCCACCATTGATATTGCTAACGCCTTTTTCTGCATTCCTTTGGCCAAAGAATGTAGGCCACAGTTTGCTTTCACCTGGAGGGGCATTCGGTATACCTGGAATCATTTACCCCAGGGGTGGAAACATAGCCCAACCATTTGCCATGGGTTGATCCAAGCTGCACTGGAACAGGGAGGTGCTCCTGAGCACTTACAGTATATTGATGACATCACTGTGTGGGGCAACACAGCAAAGGAAGTTTCTGAGAAAGGAGAGCAAATAATCCAGATCCTTCCCTCCACCCTTCATGCTACTGATGCCACTTGGAGTAAGTGGATTGCGTTGATTACGCAACGAGCGCGGATGGGGAACCTCAGCCGTCCAGGGATCCTAGAGGTGATCATGGACTGGCGTGAAGGCAAAAAGTTTGGAACACTGCCAGCAGAAGAGGTATCATGAGCTAAAGAGGCCCCACCATACAATGAATTACCAGAAAATGAAAAGACACATACCTTGTTCACTGATGGATCGTGTCGTATTATGGGGAAGCATCACAGATGGAAATCTGCTGTGTGGAGCCCCACACGATGAGTTGCAGAGGCCACTGAAGGGAATGGAGAATCAAGCCAATGTACAGAGGTAAAGGCTGTCCAGCTGGCCTTGGATGTTGCTGAATGGGAGAGGTGGCCAATGCTTTATCTTTACACTGACTCATGGTTGGTAGGAAATGCCTGGTTACAGCATTGAGAGGAAAACAACTGGCAAAGAAGGGGTAAACCTATTTGGGCTGTTGAACTGTGGAAAGTTATTGTTGCCCGAATAAATGATATGGTTGTAAAGTTGTGCCATGTAGATGCTCATGTGCCCAAGAGTCGGGCTACTGACAAACAACAAAATAACCATCAGGTAGATCAAGCCTTTAAAATTAAGGTGGCTCAAATAGACTTGGATTGGCAACACAAGGGTGACTTATTTTTAGCTCGGTAAGCCTATGGGACCTCAGGCCATCAAGGAAGAGATGCAACAAGTAAGTGTGCTGGAGACCAAGGGGTAGACTTACCTATGGACACTATTGGACGAGTTATTCTTATCTGTGACATATGCTCCACAGTTAAACAAGCCATGAGGGTGAAACCTCACTGGAAGGAAGGGTGATGGCAAAAGCATAAGTATGGGGACGTGTAGCAAGTTGATTATATCACCTTGCCATGATCTCACGATGGTTGGCATTATGTGCTCACCATGGTGGAGTCAACCACTGGGTGGTTCAAAACTTATGTAGCGCCCCATGCTATCCCCGGACGCATCTTATTAGGTCTCAAGGAACAAATCCTATGGAGACATGGCACTCCAGAAAGAACTGAGTCAGATAATGGGACTCATTTCAAAAATTCTCTTTTAAATATTTGGGCCAAAGGTCATGGCATAGAGTGGATTTATCATATCCCCTATCATGCACCAGCTTTTCATAAAATTGGACGATACAGTGAGTTGTTAAAAACTATGTTGATAGCAATTGGTGGTGGAACATCTAAGCGTTGGTAGAAGTTTTTGGCAAAAGCTACCTGGTTGTTTAACACTAGAGGATCTATCAATCACGATGCTCCTGCCCAATCCAGTTCTGTACGTAGTGTAGGTTCCTGTAGTACATGTAAAGAGCATGTTGGGTAAAGTGGTTTGTTTCTCTCCAGCTTCTGTGAAGAGCTGATCTCTCCATGGAATTGTTTTTGTTCAGGGACCTGTGTCCACTTGGTAGGTGATGCAGCAAAATGGAGATTTTTAATGTGTACCACAAGGGAATTTGATGTTGAGGGAGTGCAGTCAGTAACTCTGTGTGTATATATGTGTGTGTAATGCTTGTTAATTCTTGCTTGTTTTTATTAAGCATGATGTAGTGATGTGGAATAAGGGGTGGAATGGCTTGATTTTTCTGATTTTTGGTTATCTGTATTTCACATCATAATATCATGTAGTGCACTGAGAGTTAGTGTTAATGCTCCAGTTCTACTGATCATGGAGAGTTCCACGTACCTGGTTTTCAGAAGAGAAGAACTATATACTACATCCCCCAGAGGACTGTATGCTGTTCCATTTCCATTTTCTGTTCAGTGGGAAAGATTAAAAGCCGTTCGTACTTCACTTTCCCTCTCCCTCTTTAAATCTTCTATCTCTTCTCTGTTGTGGGTGCCTTCTCGTCACAGTATGAGAGTAAGGCCTTCAGTTTTCGGACACTCTCATTTTATTTGATTTATCAGCTCCAATTCTAATTATGTTGTATTATATTGTATTATAGTGTGTTATCTTGCATTCCAATATCTTGTTTAGTAAACTAGTTTGTTTCTCCTGAGGTCATTGCCACTGCTTTTGTTTTTAGTCCCATCTCTCTACCTTTTCCCCCTT